TTTCTAATTGTATCCAGTTTTAGGAGGAAGCCTCTGTCTCTCCTCTCACGCCGCCATCTTTAATCCGAATCGGCATACACATTTTGAAGTTAAAATTTTACTCAGATTTAGTATATCCCTGTCTTTAGTTTTGCCCTAATACCCACACCTTTTTCCTCAGTACTCTCTGTAGTTTATATGGTGCCACAAGCCCATTGCATTAGGACGGTAGGAGTCAGATACCCAGCTAAAAGATGTGCATGCAGACGTGCACGTGCACACACACACACTTGCTTACACTAGGTATCTAACAAGGCATGCACCACTCTGGGGAACGGTTGACAGTGCAGTCCCACTTTGTGATACAGTTGTATGGCGAGAGGGAGAGGGCTTGGCTCATTGATGTGCAGGATACCCTCCAGTTTAGATTTCAGCTCTACCCACAGAACAAAACAACTGCTTCTGGTGAGCCTGGAAGCTGAGGCACAGAAGGGCAGAATGGTAAAGGGAGGATACACAGAGGGAATGTAGTTGTTCTACTGGCACCTGCTGTGATGGGGCAAGGCTGAGGCACAATGGAATGGCCATCTGGATTAATCTAACAGGCAATTTCCAGGCATTTTCTCTCCCTGCAGCGGTACTGCCCCTGGGCCTCCCGGGGGCGGGCCCCGCACAGCTCTGTGCATGTATTCTGGGGCCGCACAAAGGGTCCCTCACACTCAGGCTTCCTCTCATTCCTCAAAAGTGCTCTGGGCAAGGAACTCCCGGCAGCCTCTCTCCACAGAGAAGGAAACAGCATTCCTACAACGGGTAGGGCAGCTGGCCCACCCAGGAGAGGCCCTTCCCCTAAATTTATTGGTTCCAAGTTGGGAAACAAAGGCTTTCCAGCCCTCTCCTCCCTTCTACCAGGGTGTTGTGGGAACTCCAAGTCAAGCACACAGAAATCACCCCTTATTCTGAAGGCAGGTTCTTAGGCTGTAGAAATTCAAGAACTGCCACAGAAAACCCTTTCTAGACTAGCCAACAGGCTCAGACTACAAATACCACCACTGCTCCTGCAGAAGGGGTTTGAAAGGCTTGGCCAACTAGGTGTGCTAGAAATTGTCAGGTTGTTCAGTCAAGGTTAATGTTACATTATGCTTAGGGGAACAGTGTAATTTATCATCCAATTCACAACACTTATGAGAATGGAGGGAGAGGGGCTACTAATAATTATACCAGAAGAGCAGGTACACACCATCACCCTAAATACACTTGATCTGAAGTCACATTAGCCAAAACCCACAATTTAAAAAAATTTTTTAAATAACAAAACCTTCATGAAGAAGAGGCAAAAAACAAAACACACTGAGAAGCAAACTGAGTCATGTTTTTGTTTAAATGCCATTTGGATGCCCTGTGTGTATTCTGATGTCAGTACAATTTCAGCTCAATCATTAAATACCAGTTAGTGCTGTTAACAGAACCTTCTGTGATGACAGACTGCTCTGCCTACACTGTTCGGTATGGTAGCCACTAGACACACGTGAAGACTGAAAACCTGGAATGTGGCTACTGCAACTGGAAAATACGAGCTTTTAATTTTACTTAAATAGCCCTATGTGACTAGTGACTCCACAGTAGTGCAGATCTATACTTACCAATCCCGCAGTCATTTGGAAAATTACTTTGCCAATCACTCGTATTTTTGATCAAGGGATTTATGTGTTTTCTCTAAACTCAATTTGGAAATAACTCATATATTTTACAGTTTTTTAACATTAAAAATTTTTAAAGGGCCTGTGATTAGATTTCAGGTAAAAGTCAACAGTGCCACAACATACTGAGCATCAGTTATTTGAGCTTTTACTTTGTAACCAAGTAACCGAGCTACGACTCCAGCGAGGAAAGAGCCAGAAGCCAGGAGCACATATTACCCGGTAAAGCTGCAGAGAAGACCTGAGACCTGTAAGACTGGGCTTGGGTCGAGTCGAGTGGTTGGTAACATCTGCTACATTATATAGCCAGTGGATCAGCTCTTCCAGCTGACAGCAAAATGTCTGTGTAGACAAAAGAATACACGGTGTTACTGACTGAACTATTTACATTTTCAAAAGGCCAAAAAAATGGCGGGTTCCAGAAGATGGATGGTGCACCTTCCCAGAGCATTCCCTCACTTGAGGGGTTCGTCTCCTGTCTCCTTCCCTGTCTGTCCCACTGGTTGTGTCTCTCCTCTCAGCCTGACAGGACCCCAAAAATGACAGGCTGAGAAATGCCTGCCCTGCTAAGGTGAGGCAGGGACAGAAATAGCCCAGAAGTGGCATGCCTGCTACGGGAATCAATTGTTGGTCAGCACCAGTGCTAACCATGAACTGTTTCTGGGAAAAACGAGCATAAAATAAATAACTATAATCACCACTACAACTGAATTAAAATGGCTTGTCCCTGTTCTGCTTCCACACTGCCCACAGAGGTAGGACCCTAGAATCCTGCCAGTCACTCACCCTGAGGAGGCTGGGAGCCAAGCAATTCGTCTCAGTGTCTCAATCAATCACAAAAGAGGGCACATGTTAACAATTATCCTACCCAGTTCACAGGACAAATAAAGTCACCCAAGGAAAATCACTGGGCAGGTTAAACCCCTCAAGTGCTAGGAAACATCTGTAGCATCAGCTCATGGGTACACAGCTTTCTGGCTGGCTGCCCTGCTGCTGTGTGGAGGCAACTCCCATGCATCAGGGAGGCAGGCAGTGGAACTCATGTATGGAGCACATTTCCAAAGATCCTTGTGTGCTGGACTGTGCAAAGCCCAACACGAATCATTTCATGTCATCCACACAATACCCCAAGGAGGCAAGGCTCCGTGTTTTACAAATGTGTGTACTCAGGAATGAGCTGAATTCTAAAGACAGCAGTGCCATGATTCAAATTCAGATCTGCCTGATCTGGAAGGCCCTATTCCACAGAGCATTCACTCTAGCTCCAGACAGTCATAGGTGGTCCACAAGAGAAGGTTCAGTGGCCAAGAAGTCTAGAAAATGGTATATTCAATGCTCGTAACTCTGCTCTAACACTTTCCTGAAACTCTAAGTCCCAAAGTCAAGAAAGCCGCTGACCTGTGTTCAGCCCAGTGTTTCCCACAGGCATTCAAGCACAGAGCCTTCCCATACCCTACCTCTTAATCGTCCCGGTCAAGAGCCTGGGGTAGTAGTGATGAGCTCAGGCCCCAACCCTTACTAATTATGAGTGGGCAAGTTACCTAACCTCCTGATGCCTTTTCTGCAGCTGTAAAATGAGAACAGTCTTTATCGGGTACAGTTGTGAGGGCCAAGTAAGGTAAGGTACAGTACAGTGCCTGGTACATAGAAAATGCTCAGAGTTACTGAGTTTTATTATGATGTTAGCGGGCTGCGGGCATTAGAGACACCTCTCAGCAAAGCCTCTTAAACTCTGTTTACCTTCACACACTGCATGAGCGATTCTTTTCCCTCCTCTCCTCCTTTCCTGGGAGCCTGTCCTTCAGCATCTGGGTCGGAAAATGCCTGCTGGTCCGACACAGCTGGCAAGGAGCAGCATGTTCTCAGTGGTCCAGAAGGGAATCCCAGAGCCTGGCTGCTCACCAGACTGCCCTCCACTGCAGAGTCCCTTGCATGGATGAAGGAGTGCAGCAAACAATGGTTCTGGCCTTCAGGGGCCCTGGGACCTCTGAGGGCAGCCCCAGAAAGAAGCTGGCTTTGGCTTGAGTCCGATGGGAGGGAAGTTGGTGCATCACTGTCCGACACGTCCAGGGAGCTCTGCCCTTCAGCCACCCCAGTGGGCAGGGTCACCAAGGTGGGAATGGAACCTAGATACGACACCAGACTAGAAACCTGTGACAGCCTAGTGGGCAGAGCAAGGTACTCATCGTCACTTTCCAGCTCCTCTTCCAATTTCCATCCAGACTCTGTGTAGGCAGGGCGCTGCACACCCTGGCAAGCCCCCTTCTCTCTGTCCGGCCTTCGTGAGAGCCACCCTCTGTCCTGTGCCCTCAGCTCGGGAGATCCCACCTCAAGGTTTCTGCCCATGGGTAGCCGGTCCTTCATGCCCCTCAGGGCTGGTGTTCTGCTCTCCCAAGGAGAGTCCCTTCTGCCTGGGGCTCTGGGAGTAGATGCAAACTGGCTACAAGATGCCAACCCCACACTGCCCTGCTTAAGGCGTGGCTCCTTGGGTCCAGATAATGGCAGGGCAGTGGCCTCTGATGGGCAACTGTGGGAGACATTAGTAGGTGACTTTAGGGTGCTTGCTGGGGAGACAGAGAAGCTATCCAGGTCTACGCCTGAGTCCTGCAGGATAGGATCAGCTAGCATGTAGCTGTCGAGATGCTTTGGGAGCTGAGGCCTGGGCCTAAGTGGGTAAGTATAGTCCAGCAAGTCTTCATACTCTTTATTTGGGTTCCAGAGCGGCGAATGGCGGTTGGGGGAAGGAGGCAGGGTATCTGGCAGCACGCAGGCCCAGTACTCAGCCTGGAAGGAGAGGCGCCTCCTGCCCAGCCCAGGAGCATCACCCCCAGAGGACACAGGCTCTGGCGACCACTGGAGCCCTGTCCCCACCACGCAGGGGGCTGACTGGGGGACAACCACCTCCAGGGAAGAGGAGACCTTGGCAAGGGAGCAACTCTGAGGCTCTGCCTTCTCTTGGTGACCCTGAAGACTGCTGTCTGGGGATGAGGCAGAGATGCAGCAGCCAGAAACCTGAGGAGCAGTGGCCCCTTGGCTCACCATGGACCGCAACCTTGATGGGAAAGGGAAACCTGAGACGTGAGGCTGTCTGCTGAGGTCCAGCACCTGTGGTGACACAGCTGGGGATGGGTTGTCTTCAGTATCGGCATCATGCCCTGAGCAAAGAGCTGTGGCTCCAGAAACAGTTAGAGTCTGAGGTAGTGCCTCTGAGGCAGAAAGCTTGGGCTCCTCCATCTGTAGTAATAAGAGAGAAGAGAAAGCACTCAGGTGAAAATAAGCAAACCAAGTTTCTTTCTTAGACGACAACTGAGGCGTTTTCACTGGGGTGCTTGGATATTCAGGACAGGTCTTAAAGAGCCTGCTCCCTGATGAGAGAATCGCAAATGTGCTGCTAGCGGCCACGAGACTCAGCCTGCTCTGGGAAGCAGATGGTCTTCCCCAGACTGAGCCCACCCTCAGGCCTTCCTAAAGCTCTTCCCCACCCACCCACTTTGCTAGCAAGTAGAGCTCAGCTAGCTCTGTCATGCTGAAGCTGTATACATTGCCTAACCTTTGAGAAGCATGTCCTGGGCAGATGAAACCTCACTCTGCTGCTGACAGGAGACACTCCACACCCACAGGCCAGTGACCCACTGGGTCACAACCCGTCGGCTAGCAGGCAGCAATGACTGAACACTGGCAACGTGAGTCACTCATCTCAGCCTCTTCACTGTGAACTTTGTTTGCTCGATGATGAACTTGCCCCCAAGGGAGGCAGGACAGCACCATGGTTAGGGGTGTGGACTTTGGAACTAGACAGACTCTATGCCAACCCCTAACTGCCACCTTCCAGATGTATGACTCTGGGCCTCACCTCCCTCACCTATAAGATGGGGAAAGTAATAGCATTATTTCCACAGGACATGAGGATTATCTGAGCTCCTGTGAGAAAAGCACAGGGTGAGAGTAACATACAACAGGCGTTACAGTAATAAGCCCGGGACACATCCTCGAGAAATGGCCCATTTCTGTGCTTACTGCCTCACTGAATCTCTGACTGACCGGTGTGCCCCAAGCCTCCCACCACCCCTGGCTCCCAGGTAGGCAAGCCCTGCTTCTGTTTTGTCCTAGACAGTCATGCTCCGAGCCTCCTCATAGTATAGGGCTCCACAGGGGCAGCATGCAGAGCCAAGGCCACTGTGACACCAAAGAGATCAAAGCTATTCCCATGAAAGGCCTTGGCAAGCTGAACATAATAGGATGTCAGAACTGGGAGGGACAGATCACTCAGGTTACCCTCGCAATTAAACTGAGGGCCCGAGTCACAGAGCCAGGCAGGACTCCCTGCTCCAGGAGACTCCCACTGGGCATGGCAGTGCCACAGTCAGGGTGCCCAGGAAATGGCCCTTGTCCAGGGACAGTGCTGCTGCCACAGGCACTCCAAGGCCCTGCTGGGTTCCAAGTCCCATGCAGAGACAGTTTCAGAGCCCTCAGGGGTGCACAGCCCAAGGCTCTCCCTCTCTAAGTCTTCTCAGGGACCCCCTGAAGACTCCTCATCACTAAGTCAGAAACAAGATATGGCTCCTCCTATCAGAGCTCCCCTGGCCTATCCTTCTGGGCAGTAGGTCTTGGCCATAGCATCCCCAGTCCTCAAAATGTCACCAGTCACACTGTTGAGGAACAGGAGATGCTGTGGACAGAGCCCCCCACCGGTCCCAAGGTCCGACTGTCCAGGTGAGCCTGTAACATAAAAATCATCACACCCAAGCTCCCCGATTCCCCACCTTGTACAGGGGCTGGGGAAGCATGTAAAATGGTGAGAAAATGTTGGAATGTACTCCCAAAGGACAGTATTTGGTAAATCTACAGTTCCATTTGCCTTAGTGCCTACCTGGCTTCCCACCAAGTGCAGATGGTCTCTAGTCCCCACACCAGCAGGAGGAAGCAGGCAAATGAGAGCAGGCTGACAGCCACTGGCTCCCGGCTCCTGGCTGGTATTGCTGGCCTGCAGCTGGAATGCTCCAGAGGGGCCAGGGCAGGCAGGGGCAGGCAGTGCCTCAGCTCCCCGCAAGGGGGAGGCAGGACCTCCTTCAGCTTCCAGGCGTGGCAGCTGCGCCCCATTCCCAGGCCCCAGGATGTCCACTGCCAGTGCCCTGCAGCTCCGCCTCCCACAGGACAGGCCCTTTGGGTCTGCGGATGCCTCCAGCTCTGCGTTTTCTTCTCCCAGGGCCACTGACATGTCTCTAGGTCAGGGTTCCCCCGAAGCCTTCAGCTACCTGCAGAATGGGAAAGGGAGAGAAAAAAATTAATTTTCTCCATCTGTGTCCAGGAAAACTTGCTTTTTAATGATTAAGACAAACTTTTTTTTGGCCAAAGGGAAAAAGAAGAACAAACAGTGCCTATTTCTTCAGAGAACAGAGGTCAGCTTTTCCTTGGCCCCAGACCCTTCCCCAGATGCAGAAGCACATCATTTGCCCTCTGCTTTTACGTGGCCAGTACAAGCCCCAGCGGCTGGAGCCCAGGAGGGTCAATGCAGGCCCAAATTAAGAGTCAAGGCTTGGTCCTGCCTCAGGTGGTCTTTTCATCCCTGTCCCTTTGGCCCAGCCCCTGAGTATGGTGCCTGGCTGGGCCCTCCCCCGGTGCCAGCCTGGCTCTGACCACTTTGTTTCAAAGAAAAGCAAGTCAGGGTGTGCCCAGACCTCAGCTGAGCCTCGGTGCTCCCACGGCGCCCACTCTGCCTGTGGAGGAGGCAGGACTCTCTCGAAGCACAGAAACTATACCCCAAGCTGTGCAGCAGGCAGCAACCAGAGAGAGAGCAGCACTGTCCTCCTGCTAGCTTGGCTTACAATTAACTTCGTAATTGAGGGAAGCCAGTGAACTATAGGTGGGGAACAGTGGTAATTGTCACACAGCATGTGTTTCCTGTGACAGTGAGAAAGTGTGTATGCCAGGCAGCTGGCAGGCAGGTGAGGAGGAATCAGGGGGAGCACACAGTGGGGCAAGAAGAAACAATGTGGGAACTGGACCTATTCAAGAACAATGGAGGGAGAGCCCCTCAGCCTAAGTGAGCAGAGAAGGAAGGGTGGCTGCTGGGAGCACTGGTGCAATGGGCCTGGGGCCAAACTCGAGGAGGACTTGGAAGGGGAAGCACCTTGGGTTTTGCTGGCTGCCGAGAGTGCACTGGGCCAGCCTCAGGGCTAAAGCCTCAGGGCTAAAACCTGGACAGAAAGAGCCCTGTTTTCTCAGAGACCAAGAGGCAGAGTGATTCCAAGAGGAGGTGCTGGTGGGGGCATGGAAGCCTGAGAAGGTGGGAGAGGCGGTGGAGGTGGGCTCATGCACTCTGGCAAACAACTGGGTAAACACAGCTACCCCGAGCCCACCCCATACTGGAAAATAAGAGGGTCCTACTCTGGTGCCTGCAACTTCAGAGAAGAGCACACTTCACATGTACTATGCTCATTTACTTTTCACAAACATCGTAGGGGCAGGAACTAATCAGAATATTAGTTCTTTGGGAATGTATGGTTCACATATAAATACACTGCAGATGTTAAGTGTCCCTCCACGCATGTCCCCATTCCTCACAAAACGAGGAAGCACATCAGGGCCTCATGACAGCACCAGGCACACAGTGGGCACCAAGCGACAGCAGGGCCATCTGGGTCACAGCAGTGTGCGTGAGTCAGTTTAACTACTTACCTTGCAAGGAACAGAGGAGTCCAATAGTGAAAAAAGCAGCCTATTTTTCACATAAATCAAGCAAAATATTCACTAGACAGTCCCACAAAACAGTCTTGTTAATTCTGTGTATGCTCTCACCCCCTGATGCACATGCAAACACAGAAATCTATTTCATCCTCTTCTACTTACATTAAAGTAGCCAACTGTGCAGGACACACTGGTCAGAACCTGTTTTTCTTTCACTCTTTTTTTTTAAAACAAAATATCTTGGAGATCTTTCCTTAGCAATACACAGAGAGCTTCCTGTTGTTTTTTTTTAATCACTGTTCAGTACTGTATTCCACTCAAAGAATGCACTCTAGTGTGTTTCACTGGTCCCTTACTAGTGGATATTTGGGTTACATACAATTTCTGCTATTACAGACAATGCTCAATAAATTACCATGTACACACATCATAAGCATGCATGCTGGTGCATCCGAATCACAGCCAGAAGCAGAACTGCTCAGGCGAAGGTTACCCACACATGTACTTCAGGTGAACGCTGCCAAGCAGTCCTCTAAGGGGTGGTGCCAATTTACACTCCCAGCAACAGCCTGCCTGAATGCCAGTTTCCAATGAGAGGCAGGTTCTCTTTTCCTCAGTTCACAGAATGGAAAACCAAGACTCAGATTCAAATCCGGGGCTGTGTAGCTCCAAATGCCAGCTCTTTGTGAACCAACCAGGGAACAAGATAAGCACACAAGCAGAAGAGGTAAGAGACTGGCCTAGGGACAAAGAGATGAATTACTAAATTCTGCCAAGACAGAGCTATTTTCACGGAGTCACATCCTCACCTCGTGGCTATTTAAGAAATTACATACGGAGATGTTTACAGCAAATGGTGTTTTCACAACTATAAAAATAATCTGAGCCCATTAGCTGGAAAAATTAGGGTAGAGGCTGAATTTAGCCTATAGCCACCCCTTTCTAGTAGAACCCCTTTCAACTAGAATGGTTTCTAGTTCTTGCTCCGTTCCTAGAAACTCTCTCAATGGCTGGAGTTGGACCATGACGGTGGCTAATCCCTTTTACACTATCCCTTCTCCTCCACAAAAGGGTGTGGTCCTACAACAGGGGCTGGAATAAGATGCTGCTGGTGCAAGAGAGGGATATGTGCAAATGATCGCTATATTTGTTTTGATGATGTTTTCATTTGTCTGGTCTGATCTCATTTTTTAAAAAAGGTCTCCAATCATTCTGGGAGGTGCAAGTAGTGCTGAAATTATAAGCTATTTAGAAGACACCTCTAGGAAGCTTTCCAGGTATACATACAAACCTGAACTAGGTTAACAGTGTCACCAGAGGCCCTTCAGCAACCAGGTAAAAAGGTCTGAAATTCAATGATTTTCATGGAAATGATAGTTCTGAAAAGAGAGATTTCAGGTGGTTATTAGTCTGGATAAGCAGCCTCTTCATAATCTTACTTACCAATGTGACTGACAAATCATGTTTATTTTCCCCTATGCTACATAAGTTTATTATGAGATAATAGACAGATACCTATAAAAAAATAGAATAAAAAGAAGTCCATGGGAGTTCATTCCAAGTCGTATATGAGATGCTACAAAGGGAGAAATCAACTAGGATGGACATAATCAGGAGAAACTCCTTGAAATGACGACTGTTGAAGGCAAAACCATTAAAAAAAAATGTTGAAGAAAATGGTGGCCTAGCAAATGCACAAGTTTTGCATTTCCAGGGCTCAATCCTGTCTGCATCTACCAGGTGGGCATCTGTAATACTACACAAAGGTCTGGCCTTCATTCCTATCGATTCTATACCTTCCACACCATTCCTTCTAAGCCTGTGGGTGTCAGGATGGAAGTGGAGGATTTTGCTCGGACCCTTTCAATGGGAGGCAGCTTACTCCTATTCAAAGCATATGATGGAATTCTCAGACTAACGGAAACCGCTTACTGTGTTGGAGCTACACTGTGTCCCAGGCCATCAACGTTACACAACCTACTACCTTATGTGGGACCTGCAAGCATTCAGATAACACAATTTACCAGCTTCTTGGAAGCTAGCAGTTCCATAGTGGGCAGAGGCCTTATCGATCTCCTCCCTAACAGGGAAGCACCAAGAAGTTGGAATGAGTGACTAAAGGCCTCACAGCACAGACAATGAGCAATGGATTCAACCCTCCCACCTGAGAAAGATCTGTACACACCAGAATGGCCCTGTCCTTGGCCAAACCAAGAGACAAGCCATGTGAGCTTCAGAAAATTCTAGGGATCACTTGATCTTTGCTATTAAAATTCTCCATTAGTTTCCAGGACCAGCAGAGGTGGTATGACTAAACCAGATATAATTAGGAGTAATGTAGGCTTGGCTTCCATTTGCCCTACAGTAAAAACGCGCTTACATGTCACATACGTGGTAACACTAACTCTAAGCCTGGACACATGACCCTTCTTGCTATCCGTGCACCTCCCTCATCCAGTCTTGCCACAGCCGCACACACAGTGGTACCATCTGGCCAGAGAACCAGGCAAAGAGGCTCTCAGTGCTGCTCTTTCCCCATGAACGTGAACTGCCCACAAGGAGAAGCGGATGAGGTGGGGTATGACCCAGCACCGGCAGGTTGCTATGCGGCTACTGGGGGAACTAGATTTATGGAATAGCTTCCTGCCACTTGCTCCTGTCCAAAATGAAGAAAGGAGGACTGGGAATTAGCAGGGAGAGGTCATGCTCTTCTCTTAACTAAACCATTCTGATACAGGACTGACCCATTAGGGAGCAATCCTCTGGCCAAAAAAGGACTTTCTCCCTTTGAACCAACCTGATTTATATCAACTTTGTCAGGGAGGCTGTTCTAGCCGGGCCCTCTCTGTGTACGTAAGTGCACAACCAGCCACCTGGACTGGCTACACAGGCCAGGGGTTGCTTGACAGAGCAAGCTCCACCAGTTCAGGGGCCACTCAAACACCTTGTTGTTTCTACAGGAGGCTACAGGGACAGGTGGTAAATGCCATGCACATGCAGTGCCAAATCTGGCCAGAGAACCAGACAAAGAGGCTCTCAGTGCTGTGCTTTTCCTGAGAACAGGAAATGCCCACAAAGAAAGGGGAGTGGGGTTGGGTAGGACCAGCCCTGGCAGGAAGCCAGAAGGTTACTGGGGTAACTAGATTTATTGGCAGAAGCCAATCCAGGCATGGGTGGAAGCATGAATGGGGGCAAAGACTTCTGTTGGGGATGCCAACCAAAGGGGTGGTCACGAGAAGCTGGGGGCTGCTTCTGGGCTGGGTGAGTGCCAGGAGTGCTGGGGCTGGAAGCCAATGGCCAAGAGCAACCGCCATCACACCTTCCCCTGCCCTGGCTGTGGAAGCCCTGGAGCCCCTAGTCCTCCATACCAGCCCTGCCTTTCCCTGGGGGGCAGGTCACCCTGGGCGCTGTTTCCCTCCTGTAAGTGTCAGCAAAGCAAAATGAAAAGAGCAGGGCCAAAGCCATGAAGGGCAAACGCCTCCCCCACTGCTCGGTGATGGGCTGGCGACACCCTCAGCACCCTGGGACACCAGCAGGCGCCCCACTCTGGGTCTACTTCCCTGAGTTTTGCTTAGGCAGAGAAGGAGTTCCCTCTCCTCCCACAGGGTTCCTCTAGATGGATGTGATGGGAGGGCTGAGGCGATGTGCTCTGCGGATTCTTCCCCCATGCCTCTCTCCCCCTCCCCACCACACAGCCTCACTGGCTGTCTTCTAACTCATCATGACAGGTCTACAGGTGGCCTGGAAGGAGATGCAACTGCCAAGTCGACGAAGAGCTTGGCAGAGCTTCCCCCGTGCCCCACAACCTTGAGTCTTGGAACTCCTCAGCAGTCAGCAGACTGTCCGCATCCAATGAAGCTCAAAGCGCGAGCTGCTGAAGACTGAACATGTTCATCAGCTGTACCTCTGTTCCCACCGAACAGCAAGGCAGACAAAGGGAACTCCTGTTGGGGGAAGTGGGCCCTGGACTGTGTGGTTGCAGCTCCACAGGCCATTTTTTTCACAGTACTCAGTTTCCTGTGAGGCAGTCAGGCTGCACATATGAAGACTGGTAAGAATCTTACTGATTTCCTCCAGATGTCACTCACTCATCTTCTTTGGAGAACTCATGGGTGAATTCTCTGGTCTCAAAAATAGAAACAGCTGTTTCACTAAGCAGCCATTTTGTTTTTACTTTATAGGTATTGGCAAAACTGATAAAATTTTCCTTTGCTCTGAGTCCTAGAAAGCTCAGGGCCATATCTGAAGGCCCACCCAAGCAAAACGGAAAGGACAGAGAGACATGTTTTGTACTAATCTTACCACTGACATCCTCTTACTTTTCTTTTACCTTATCTTCCTCAATTACTTTCATTAAAAAATCTTGTTACAATGAAAGTACCTTGGCAAGTTCCTCAAGTTATTTTTTGGAACAAAATAGAGGAATTGTTAGGAACAGAATAAAATAAAAACAGAAAAAAAGCTCCTAAATCCTAGACTTCGTCTCAACACCATAACAAAATCTGTTTACCAGTACCTTTAACAAGCAAATTCAGATCCTTCTCTCAGTACCTTTCCATTCAAAGTGCAGCTCCAGGACCAGAGCATCTGCCTCACCTCAGAGCTTCTGGAATGTAGGTTCTCAGGCCCCAGAGCCTTGGCATCAGAATCTGCATTTCAGCAAGATCGCTCCGTGACTGCTAAACACAGTGTTCCAGAAGCACCAGATTAGTAAGCAAGCCTGTTTTAGCGTACTGAAGAGAACTATTAACGGCTTTATGAGCACTCACAGAGGGACTACTGCATGCTAGGTACACTCACGAAGGAAATGTATGGTCCCTGTCTTTGCAACAGGACATTAGGAAAAGTTCACCTTGTGGCAGGTTTTTAATGGCTAATTATAGAATGTCACAGTTGGAAAGGAGTCCCCAGAAATAGTATTTCCAGAAAGGATTCAAGCTTCCTTGTGGCTACACTAAAAACAGAATCAGAGACCAGGATTCTGTGATGGTTACAAGAAGGGGGAAAGGTATCTGTTTTGGAGACTCCAAATAATTTAAGAGAAACTAACATGCCAATGGGGCCAATGGGGCGTACAGCTGGGAGGAAATGTACATCTTAGCCTGCTTCCTCCTCTAGAAAGTGGTACAGGAAAACCTGGAAGTGAGGCAATATCCCCTCGGGGTTGTATCTGCCACCTCTAGGTCTGGCCAACAGGTTTAAAGCCAACATGAAGACTTCTTCCATTTTTCACAATGCATGTGAACTACTTTAAAGACAGGATACCACTTCTTCACAAGAAGAGAGTGAAGTTATAAGGAGAGAAGCCACCCCATGTCCACCTCGACAAGCCTCTCTCTGACTCAATGAACATACTAAAGACTTTACATCAGCCACATCAGGCCCCTCCTTTTTTACTCCTCTGCTCTAAATGTCTGCTCTAAATAGCCATTTGGAGTAACAGACCACATTAAGAGTGTATCAAATATTACTCTTAATAATTGGTCAAACTGGTTTTTGACAATTCATCTCCAGTGGGTGGTGAGACTCTAAATGAGTAACAGATAATCTTCTATGGAATATGTTTACTGTAGAGGGAAAAATCAGGAAAGGCCTAAGAGCCTTTTTAAAATCAAGGAATAGATCAGGACCAAAAGGTAGAGACTGAATAGCCAAGTATTCTACAGATACTTAGTATTATTGAATCTGTTCACACATCTGCTTATTTTTATCCTGAAAACTGCTAACAGCTACTCAACATTTTCTCTGAGCCAGGAACTATGCCAAGCACTTTATACCAATATTCTGTTCAATCCTCACAACCCATGGAGTAGGTACCATTATAACACCCATTTTACTGATGAGGAAACTGAAGCCAGAAGTTATTTAACTTATTCAGAATTAGTAATATGGCAGAGTTAAAGTCTGATATGACTTAAGAGAGCCATACATCAACTGCCTCCCTAACCTGTACGAACAATTGACCCAACAAAGTTATTAAAGGAAGTTTCTGTTTTGTCACCTTTTGGCTACACTCATTTTTTGTTTTCTTTTGGCTTCCTTAAATCACTGAGTACCTTCTAGGTTCCAAGCATTGTGCTTAGCAGTTGAATGTAAATAAAAAGGGCAGTAGAAGGCAGTGTAAGGAAGGGAATAATTGTTAGTTGTAGGGTAGGGAACAGCATTACAAAGCTTTCCGAAGAGGTAAAAATGAGTTCTTTGCTCTTTTTAATAGAGTGGCCCAGAATGGACCCAGGTGGAAGGAACAATGATGAGAAATGGTGACCCCTACTTCTTTTGACCAAGTCATAGGCAAACAGACTCAGCGCTCTTTGTCATGCGTTCTAACACTCTCCTCTCCTAGATATTTCTAGGTGCTGTTGGGGTATTTCTGAATGCTACCTATCTACGTTCCCGCCCCGGGCACCCCCCCACCCCCAAAACCGAATTCCCAGTGAGGTCCTATCTCCTCTGGCGATGGCAGGTTTGCGCTCGTTTTTACTACAAACAATAAACACACTGAACCTCACTAGATAATTATTAAGGACCTAAAAAGGTTTGAGCATGTGCCCCTACGCTGCTGAAACTCGTTCCAGAGATGACAGTTGGAAAGGGTGACCCTTCTCAACAAAGATTGAAACATCTTGATTTTTTTCCTCCGCGGCAGCCGGGGCTGCTGCATTCAAGGCGACAAGAAAGCATAATTCGTCTGCAGCCTTCCAGTGCGTGTGACCCTGAGCTGGTGAGAGGAGGTCTCTGCGTTAGCTCCGCTCGGGAGCGGTGCCGGGCCTCTCCCTCCGGGGGCACCTGAGCCTGGCAGCGCGCAGGGTAAACAGGACACGCCCCGGGAGAGGCCGTGAGGGACAGTGAGCTCCCCAGGCAGACTAGCGGCGCAGCTGCTCCCACCGCAGGATGAAGAGCCACGCGCGCTCACTCCGCCCGGCGTTGCCGCGCTCCGGACTTCCCAACCCCGGCTTCCCGCCTCCTAAGGCCCGCTCCCAGGTCACGACCCGCACCCGCCGCCGCTCCGTCAGCAAAATGGAGGCGAAAGCACTCGGCGCCCGCGCCCCCAAAAAGCTTTTGTGTGCTTGCCGGCGGGGTACTTGAGGCCCGGGGACCAGCCCGGCCAGGCCTCACAGACCGGGAGTGACAGCCTGGCAGAGGGGGCCGAGCCGTGCGGCCGGGGACTGCCCTGGCCGCCACTCCAGGGCCGCGGATCCCCCGACTCCCGCGCGCGGGCTACTACCTACCGCTCCTGGAACGCTTCCGACGCCCCAACCGGGCCTGCGGCTGCGCTCGCAGTCCCAGCTGCCACCAGAGGCGACCCGGACGCAGGGGTCCCAGGGACAGACCACCGCGCGCCAGCCCCAGCCCAGAACGCCTGGGGCGGGACCGAGCGCCGGCCACGCCCTTTCCCGCGCTGAGGCCCCAGTGCAACGACACGGCCAATCCCAGCCCTCAATCCGAGGGCTCGTCCAATACGCGACCCGCTCCTGCAAGAAGAGCCCACCCCTTGCTCCGTCTTGGCCTATAGGAGGCTGGCTCCCTTTTGGTCGGCCATCCTCCCTCGCTTCCATGCTCGCGGCCACGGTTCTCTCGTTCTGGCCGAGTGGGGTCGGACGAAGGCGTGTTGGCCCGAAGCGGTGCGAACTGGTGGGCGCCGAGGGACGCTCTTCTCCTGCGTGTAGGCCGCACCCTGAGTCATGCCTTCATTCATTCATTTTGCGCTGGGCGTCCGGCCGTGTTCCAAGCGCGAGGCTGCCGGGAGGCGGTCCCACAGTCTTAACTGTGCGTCTGTTTACGTTCGCATTTAAACACCCGGCATGTAACCGAGGCTCGAACTCGTGCCACCCTTCCTAAGGGCGAGAGGGAGAGGTCCTCATGTGGGGACTCACGGGTGGTTCGGGACAGCACCACGGGAGGGAGAAGTGGAACCTAGGCAGGCTCGGACATATTCCGGGGTGGTGTGGATAAATGAGCCGGGCTTCTTAGCGGCTCTCGGGGCAGCCTGGATGGGAACAGCGATGGAGTCTGAGGGAAAGTGGGAGCCTGCGTGTGGGAAGCTACAATGCGTCCCTTCCCCGCTCCGCCTCCCGCCCATCCCTGCCAGCAGTGAGGCATAGGAGCCTAATGACACAGCTCTCTATAGTTTACTGCTCCGTGGAATCCTGGGGCATAGAGGAGCACTACCACGAGGCTTCGGGTGGGAAAGGGGTCACATTGCAACTTCCAGTGGCAGGGGACCCTATTAATCTGGGTTTCCAAGCAATAGGAACCACTGTTACAGGCTCTGGTGAAAGTACTGCATTTAAATATCTAAACAAATTGATGTGAGAAAAAGGGAAGCATACATTTTGAAGGAGTATCATTAGATCTCCTTTGAGAGGTGCCACATTTACTTTCACCAGCTGGTTCACCAAATTCTGCATTTGCTGTGGAAGAAACTAGTGTTCCTGAGCTCAGACTGTACACTTCATCCAGCAGGACCATACTACAAATTTTTTAAATGCTATCTCCTGGCTGGCATTTGAACTATTTTTTCAGGGGGAGGGTATCATCTACAATTACATAAGGAACATTATGTTTGCTAGACTCCCCGCATCACCAAGTCCCCCCCACATACCCCATTACAGTCACTGTCCATCAGCATAGTAAGATGCTATAGAATCACTACTTGTCTTCTCTGTGTTGTACAACCATCCCCATGCCCCCCCCTACATTATGTCTGCTAACAGTAATGCCCCTTTTTTTCCCTTATCACTCCCTTCCTACCCATCCTCCCCAGTCCCTTTCCCTTTGGTAACTGTTAGTTCATTCTTGGGTTCTGTTAGTCTACTGCTGTTTTGTTCCTTCAGTTTTTTTCTTTGTTCTTATACGCCACAGATGAGTGAAATTATTTGATACTTGTCTTTTTCCACCTGGCTTATTTCACTAAGCATAATACCCTCTAGCTCCATCCATGTTGTTGCAAATGGTAGGATTTGTTTTCTTCTTATAGCTGAATAATATTCCATTGTGTATATGTACCACCTCTTCTTTATCCATTCATCTACTGATGGACACTTAGGTTGCTTCCATTTCTTGGCTATTGTAAATAGTGCTGCGATAAACATAGGGGTGCATTTGTCTTTTTCAAACTGGGCTGCTGCATTCTTAGGGTAAATTCCTAGAAGTGGAATTC